AATAAACAATCGAGGCGCACTTTAAAAAAAAAATACATACACAAATGACCACCACACTAACACCACAATTCAAAGACTAAACTCATGACAATGATCGAACCACCTAAACTTTTTGGAGGTTGTGCCTTCTTGCCGTTGGCCCAAAGAGACCTAACAGTTTTTTCCCATTAAGAAACTAGTGTAGTAGTGATTAGCCTAACATTTTTACTGAAATCGGAAAAACAACAAGTTCATTGTCACGAAGTGAAAGATAATCCAAAGAGCTTACCTCTAACAAACCCGACATAGTCCCGCACCTAGGCACAACCAAATTAGGATGCATTGGAATCAACTTTGTTTTAGAGAAACAGAACAAGACCAAAAGTAAGAACATGTTTACACAGATCACATAGGATGATCATAGATTACAAGACATAATTTATTTCTATGCAATCTTTTTCCTTCATACTAGCACAATCACAGATCCGACAGCACCCACATCTTGTCCTACCTCCACCATCCTTCATCTAACACAAACATAGATCACATATGACAGATCACAGATTACGAGAGACAATTTATTTCTATGCAAAGACAATTTACAATCTTTTTCCTTTATACTAGCACAATCACAGATCCGACAGCCCCCACATCTTGTCCTACCTCCATCATCCTTCATCTAAAACAAACACAGATCATAGATTACAAGAGACAATTTATTTCTATGCAAAGACAATTTACAATATTTTTCCTTCATACTAGCACAATCACAAAGAGAGGGGATCAAGACAATCACAGATTGCTAACTATTTTAGGCAAAACAAAACAATATATCTTATGCATCTGTTTTGTTTTGTTACATCGACAACATGGATGGGAACTCGCTACAAAATTTTGACCTGACAACACAAGAAGGGGTCAACAAATGGCAAGAAGCCCTACAGTTTATGTACCACACCAACCAGTATGCATTTCCAAATCCTATGTTCTATCACAGATGAGTTACAATGACACAAATGAGAATAGTAACAATAGCAGTTTCACACCACTCACACTTATACCGGTTATGCATTGGCTATATTCCTATTGTAACTAGGAATATAGCCTCACACCACTCACTTATTCCAATCTCTACAAGGACTTTTCAAGAAGCACTACTAGAAGTTAGATTCATACCTCATCAGCCAAGATTAGTACACCAATCTATTGAATCAAGTTCCCTGGTAAACTAATTCCTAGATCACCTCGTCGACCAAAATTAGCGAGATCCATGAGATTACATAGTGCAAAAACAGAGAGCATGAGATCTCACACACACGCCTGTGCCAAGAAATACAATTTTCTCGGGCAAATTTCTAGAAGTCATTCTGCAACCTCACACCACTACCACTTATATATTATGCATTTCCTATATTCCAATTGCTAATAAATTACAAAACACAGATATGGGAATTGTAGATTTTACATAGTGCAAATTGTACTTGTTGCTAATGCAATTATACCAAATGCAATTTTCATGTGGTGCAGGGGACAGGGGTGGCTAGGAATGGCTATAAACTCACAAACTGATTCTTTAATATCATTCAACTCTATCATATTGACATGTCATCATCTATTACTAAATGCAAGCAAAGAATAAGACAGAATTGAGACTGGAGCAGGAAGTATTACACAGAAACTATGGTTCGGCATAACTTAGGTAATATAAACGTCAATAATTAATTTCTGGTTAAGGACAAAACTATTTTTCCATGGACTTGTACAAAATACGAGTGAATCCACCTAAATTTCACAATACTAAATCATGTACATCATCAACTGCGGCTACCATACACAAATAGATTCTGAGAACTAATATTGTTTTGTAGGCTCTCTAGTGAAGCCGCAAAGAAAGATGAGGAAATAAACTTGTAATGCTAACAAAGATCCAGAAGCCACAACAAGCTGAGGGCGCGGTGATCAAAAACATGCAACAACTCGTCATGATCAGCAGATACAAGCAAAATTTTAGTGCCACTTTAATTTATTTATGTAATCACAAGCATGTAACAAGCTCAATGTTTTTTGTGTACTACCCTTTGTGCCTCATTGAGTGTACTAGGTTAAACAGAATTCACAACTTCATATTACTCATCATGACGACTAGATATTGCACATGTTTGGTACCATAATTTCAGAAATTAACGAGTGCAATTTACTACTTATGAATGTGCAATAAAGAGAAATTAACGATTCCCTAAGTATGGAAGATTAGTAGGGACAAAGGACAATCTACAAAATAGTACAAATCTGATCTATACAAGAAGATCCTGCTGACCATTCTTGCATGATCCTGCCTATATGTACATGTATGAGCTAACGTAAGCACATCCTTCCTACAATCAGGCCATACACACCAGATGGCTCAATCAACCCCCCCACACACACACACACACCACACCACATCCCCTCCCCAACAATACACTAAAGGACCAAAACTAATGCAATAAACTCAGAGAGAAATGGTGCAAAATTAAATACCCATTATCTAACAGATAGCTCGTGGTCTTAACAAATTCCACACATATTATCCTAGGGGCTAAGGGTATTCATCTCTTGTGAAGAAAAGATAACAATTAATCGATAGATACAATGCAGATAGTGTTGACACTGTTAACCACCCTACACTAGACAACAAAGAATAGCAGCATCCAGGTACTAATAATGGTGGCCTGACCTGTCCTAATTCCCTTTTGAGGAAAATCGGTACTGATGTATGCTAAAAACAATACCTATCAGATTGTGCATAGAAATTTCATATCAAATAAATTATCCTTAAGAAGCTTGGTAGAAGTGTCATACTAAATTTACTGGACTAAAATATATGTTCATTTCCAGAGAGTAGGATGCCATGGCACATGAAACTACAGTCTATATATCATCAGCAAATACACTGGTTCATCAATAAAAAGACAAAGTGCCCATGGACAAAATGGAGCCCAAACTTTACACCCCTGGAAAATCAGGAACACATTCAAACTGAAAGTGAACAAGCACTGCATCAAAATCAGGCACTACATGTCTCTTGCACCTGCTACAGACATTGAATACTTTCATCCATGTAAATAGATTAGCTAGCAATGCTTCTAAATTCATTCAGAGAATGGGTTGTGACTGACTGTAAGGTACTCAAATCAACAAGCACTGCATCACAAAACGAGATCTATAGACAGAACGTGGGGGCGCAAAAAATGCCCTGGCAGTTCCATCCGTGGCGCTAGCGGCCTCATCCAAACCTTGCCATGCTAGATCCCAGCGCAGAAGCAGCGAAGCAGGTCTCAACAACCGCTCGCACAAGCACCAGGTCGCTCGCCGTCTACCACGGCCACGAAAAAGCGATAGGCCGACAAAGACCAATGGCCGTGCGGTGGCGCCGACACGGACAAGGTTCGTCGTTTTGTTCGATGGGGATCGTGATGTGCTCCACGAAATGCCTCTACAGAAATCGAGAAACAAAGGCCGCTAATCCACTCGCGACTACCACTAATCCGACCACGCAATCCGCAATCTAGCAAAAAGCACCCAGAGAGAGCACGGCGGGAGAGCGGGCGCCTGAGTTCCTCACCCGCCTGATGACAAGAGCCTGGGGAAGTTCTCCTCCCAGACTCGCACCGCCCTTGGCAGCGGATGGGGTGGCGCCCACAGTGACTCGAGGACCCCGGAGGTTGCGAGTGCCGCGGCCGCGAGGCGGGAGTCCCGTAGCCAGACGTTGCGGGAGGGGACGGGGAGGGAGATGGTGGCAGTGGTGGAGGGGAATGAGGTGGCGCGGCGGGGCGGGAGGTGCGGGAGTGAGTGGAGAGCGCGGTGGCCGTCGCCATGGTGGTGGTGAGGGCAAGACGACCGATAGACACAGGGAGGGACGGAGCGGCGACGTCGCCACTGGAAATGAATCGGCGTCTCCGACCAGGAGAGCTGCCGGAGGACGAAGGCGATGACGAAATGGGGATTCACAAATTGAAACAGTACTCCCAGAGCGGGCCCAGCAAGTCAGGGACAAAAGAAAGCTGAGCGCGAGGAGACGTCGACTGTTGATCGGACAGACACAAAATTCGTGTGCAGAGAAGGGAAAAAACACACGTGTGACATATAGCATTTCTCTTATTATAAGGCCTTGGAGGTAGGTCCGGAAATTGAGGTGTCATGGATCGTATTTCCGTAACCTTTGCAAAAACATAGATACGTGCCGCTATGCCAAAATTGCCGGACTTCAGATTTTCAGCATGTGCAATTTCAGCCCAAGGCCTCCTAGAGAAAAGTAGGCCGAGTCCGGTGCATTGGTTGGAGCATGCTGGAATCTGATTCAGAAAACGGGCACCTGGCAACAGCAAAGAACGGTGTCGATCGATATTGTTTTTCTTTTATATGAAACACCAGCACGTCAGCACGCGTAGCAATTTTGTGAGAAGTAGCCTGCCCGTGCAGTCAACAACATTTCTTTGCAAGTGATAATGCGGGTGAAAGTTGTATGGCACACGGCAGACGGGAGTGATCGACCAAACACAAATATGCCTCATCTATGATGGGTATGGATGGATGTAGGCAGTTTCCTCAAGAAAATGACCACGACCACGATTGTGCGGCACCATAGAGAGTGTTTTCATCGTTATCTCCGCACCTCCATTGACAATGACTACATAATACCAATTCTCTCTATTTTAAAGGAAACAAATCTACTGTTTTTTGTAATAACAGAGAGTGACATCTGCAGGCCTCATCGTATTCTAACAGTGTAACAACTCCCTGGTATGCAAATCACGGTAGTAGTAACTAGTAAGTCGAGCACGGTGAAGATTAAATAAAAGGAGTAAACATAAGATCCCTCTGACCCTATTCACAATCACACCACCCCTTGTGATGCATCAGATTAATCAACAAGAGTCAACCAACAGAATGTCTATCCTAATCAATCCCAAGACAACAAACCCCAAGCAAGCCAAGAAGTGAAAAAATGGCGATAGAAAGTCTCTAACGGCATGTACAGGTTAAATGCTCTTGGAAAAGCCCCTGAATCCTTGGATCAGCAGGCAGAACCCCTGCCCCGACGACGCCCCACCGCCTCCCGCCGCCTTCTGTCGCCGACCGCCGCTCGGCGTCACCGGCAGCTTGTCCGGCTCCTCGCCGTCGACGGCGAAGCAATCGTCGTCCGTCCACAGCTTTGTCTCCGACGCGCCGCGCGCCTGGAACGTGAACACGGCACAGGAGGAGGAAGAGGAGGAGGACGGGTGGGGCAACTCGGCGCCCGCCGCGTGGAAGAGCCAACCGTGCAGGTCCCACGTCATGTCGACCGGCGAGCCGCCGTCGAGGAAGATGGTGTGGCTGCCGCGGAAGTTCCACCGCAGCCGCCGGAGCTGCACGACCTTGCGGTCGTCCACGGTGACCCACGCCTCCGCGTCGCCGTCCAGCACCACGACGCCGATGTCGTGCTCGTCGCCGGACTCCAAGAACCGGGCTTTCGTGGACCAGCAGCCGCACCCGACGAACCGCTCCCGGCGCCGCGCCACCCGGGACCCCGCGATCGGTATACCGCCGTGCAGGCGGTCGACGTACCCTCGGCTGAGGTCGCCCAGCAGGAGCACGAACTCGGCGTCGGCGACCACGGCGACGTAGAACCCAGAGGTCGGCTCGGGCCCCGCCCCCGCGGCGGCGTACCTAGCCGCGGCGTAGTCCCAGAACACGCCCACCACGCAGCTGCCCGCCGTGAACGTCCCGCTCCCCTTCTTCTTGTGCAGGTGCCGCGGCGCCGCCGCGTTGCCGCGGTGGTGGCGCGAGGCGGCGGCGGCGGCCTCGTGGACGGCGACGGAGAGCGCGGGCCCGTCGGGCGCCCGAGACCACGTGACGTCGATGAGCAGCTCCTTCCCGGACGCCGAGAGCCGCGACCGGTACGCGGTGGTCACCGCGCTCACCGCCGGCGCCCTCCCTCCGCCGCCGGCCTCCGCGGCGCCGGAGCCGGAGCAGGCGGCGACGTCGTTGATCCGCACGGCGTGCTCGCTGAAGCACGACACCAGGTCCTTCATGCCTCGATCTTCCTCTTCTTGGACGGACGCGCGGCTCCCCCACCCTGGAATTCTTCGGCCGGCCGCCTACCACTCACCACCACCGGGCCGAGGGAGGGGATGGCTTTGCGGACAGCAACGGCAGCAGCAGCGGCATTATGCTGAATTGGTGATGGCGACGGGCATTAGAGAAGAAGAAGCGAGTGGTTCGGTAATCGCAGGAGAAAGGTATCTCTTAACTGGGATGCCTGCCAGGCAATAGGCTGGGGCTTACAAGGTAGGTATAATCTCTATCGCGCTCATCCCCAACTCATCACTTCTGTTCTGTTACCACTGCTGTGCCACCACAGCTAGCTAACAGTTTCCTCCCGCCGTGCTCCTTCAATTCCCTTCAAGGCTTCAATCACACCAGTGGGACCGACGGGAGCACAAATTCCTGTGTCGCAGCCGAGGCAAATCTCGGTTTCGGCTCCCAAGGCTGGTGCTAAATTCTACTCCTACCCTTTCGGCCTTTTCCTTCCGGTTCCGGGCTTTGTTGTAAACTGCCGGGTGCGAGTGCGAGCAACGGAGGAGTCGCGGGGAAGGGAAACGCATCATGCGCCAAAACTTCCCACAAACGAAACGGGCGGCGGCACCTGCGGCCACAAAAAGGCAGCCCTGGCACGAGGCTGTGGCTCTAGGCCGAGGTAGACACTGGGCCACGTCCATGCACCACGTACGTACGGAGTACGTGGCACGGAATGAATGTATAATGAATAATACTGAGTGGGTACGAAACGGTACTAGTACACGTCTAGAGTACACTACTCGTGGGAACCGTTGGATTAGAGGGCGACATCTCGGATCTTCCCCCCTGGTAATTACCTGTCAGGCTGCAGCTGATGCGTTTCAGCCTGTTCGTTTGGCCCATCGTAAACGATCGTAAATTTTTAGCCAGAATAGTATTTTTCTCTCACACAAATCAGCCAGTAGTACTTTTTCACGAACCAGCCAAACTTGCCGTTTGCGTTGCGAGCGCTACGGAGCGTACGTACCGCTGCCGTGTTGACGCCAACAGTAAGTCGCACTGCCACTGACAAGTGTTGCAATTTGCAACAAGAAATTCTATGCATACCGAGTGAAATTCTAAAAATTAACACGAGAATGCTACGAAATTCATTCGTCGTTCCGAAAGCATGTAGTGCCGGGGCACCGGGCGCCCTGACAGGTTCCCTGACCGCAAATCAGAGCCGGAGCCCCGCTCGGGCGTTCCGAAAGTGGAGAAGTCCAAAGCTGCCAGCCGGGACCGCCTCAGCAGTGGACCTGCACGGCCGACACGTCTCGGCCCCCGCCAAACGGTCGCGGCGGCGCCCCGGGGCGTGGCGCGCAGGCCGCAGGCGCGCGCAGCCGTTTCGCCGCTTTCGCGTTCCCCCGCGAACCTACCCTCGTCGTCGTCGGTTCGTCCCCTTCCGTACCGGCGTGTGCACGGACGGTATCGGCCACAGGGTTTTCAGCGCCGAACCTTCCGTTCCCTCGCCAGGCCAGACGGATCGCGTCGCGTCGCCGTCGCGCATGTGCGCCCGGTTAATGAATCGGGACTGTGCTCTGCTGCAGATCTCGTCTCGCCCCGGCCCCGGCGCCCCCGCTCGAGATGCGTTGCCCGGTAGCACTGTAGTAATTGAAGTCGGGAGCGGCGCTGTTGCCTGTGGCCAAGGGAACAGGGGGCCGCTTATTATCTCCAGCCGGTGGCCAATGGCCATCGCGTCGCGCGCGCGCGCCCACGGCCGCTGTACTTTCGCCGCGCCGAGGACGCCACCCGCGCTTTGCGGGTGGGTGCGTGGCGTGGGTCTGCCAGCCAGACGAACCGCCGATGCGTCACCCCGATCGAAGCCGAAAGCTGCTGCGCGGCCGCGCGCGGCGTTGATGCATGTGCCGCTTTTACGTCCGTGGTGGCAGCCCAAAGTGTCAGAGGCTTTTAAGGGTGTGCCATTACAAAAGTTAATAATTACTCATAAGTTATTAAAAAAACTAAGTTCTCACAATTGTCATTACTCTGAACTCTTTTGTCCTACACACCACTTCCGTCAGATTTAGCACTAACGGTGTTAAACTGCGGATGTAAAAAATTAAAAACACCATTAGGTTTGAATATGTAATTAATTTTTTTAGCATCTTAATCACCTTAAATGAAAAAACTCAAAACTATAAAGTTATCTCATCGAAATCTATAATATTTATATAAAAATTATTTTCATTTAATTCTATATAAAAAATATGATTTTTCTAAGACATATTAATCATATCAAATCATTTTTTCTATGGAATTAAATGAAAGATAATTTTTTTACAAAAATTGTAGATACTGTCGAGATCTATAACTTTCTACTTTTGAGTTTTTTATTGGAGGTCATCAACATGCTCAAAAAAAATTAATTGCGTATTCAAACATGAGGGTATTTTTGACTTTTCGCATCCACGATTTAACACCGGTAGGGCTAAATCTGACGGAAGTGACATAAAAGACAAAAGAGTTCAGAGTAGTAGCACCTGTGATAACTCAATTTTTTTAATAGCTTATATGTAATTACCGACTTTTATAAAAGCACAGGTAAAAACCTCAAGTTTTATTGGATGGCGGTTTGGCCTTGTTCGGTCTGGGCCATTGAATTCCTGATACGAAACGTACGTGCAGGCCTTTCAATGTGACGAGCGTTTGCATTGCGCCGACCGATTTTTTTATTTTTTAGTCTTTTAAAAAAAAATCATAAATATGTCCTCGGATGTATGATTTTTAAATCTGGACTCTTAGCTCGGTGCCATCGTTCGCTGGCGCCGAGCTTACACGTCTCGGCGCCATCGCTTTGGCGTCGAGGTCTTGGGCTCGACGCAGACGTGAAGGTTACTTGGCAGACAGCTCGGCGTCGTAGATCCTGGCGCCGAGCTTGGCGCCAATATCTATGGCACCGAGGTGGTGTTTTAACCCGGCTCCCAACTTTTCCTGCCCGAGTCTTCTTCCTCTTCTTTCTCCTCCCTCTCGGGTTTTTTCTTTCCCCACTTCGCCTACCTCACGAATCGGTATATTGAACCTTGAAAACTTTGATTTGATCCGTAGATCTTCGAGAGCAAGGTATCCTCGCTCCACTCCTAATTTTTTTTGTATCGATTCGGTATATATTAGTCGAATTTTTCAACCTAAGAATCGTCATTACTTAGGGTTTTATATAATTTTTAATATTTGTATTATACAACCGTAGGATGTCAAGGCGTGAAAAAGCTAGCAAACCAAGGTAACCTCAGCGCATATCGTTATGTTATGGGTTCATTGTTGTGCATCAAATGAAAAACCCTAGGTTTATGGTTTAGTGTTAATTGCTTTCAGTTCTTAGAACGGAATTGGTTGAATTGTAGTTATGGCCGGATGACCGGAAATGCATTCGACCCATTGCCTCTGCCTAGTGGTGTTCCAGTGTCCATGTGCTTTTGCGGTGATCCTTGCAAGGTAGCCAAGTCCGATGAAAAGGACACGTATAGGCAGAGGTATTGGATGTGTTCCAATTTTACGTTTGAGCCTACACTTCGTCAGCGTCGTATTAATAAGATGGTGATGAATTGATGTTTGTGACATATGATATCTTGCATGATTTTTTTGTTTGGTAACAATTCCATTTTTTTCAGACCCCTCCACTGCTCTGTGATTTTGAGCAGTGGATCGACACTGAGATCAAGCCTGAAGACAAGGAATGGATGTAGAAACTATTGTGGTGGGAGGCAGAGGACAAGGAGATGATAGAGAAGAGACGCGGAGAGGATGCTATAAAAAAGGAGCACGAGGAGGAGGAAAGGAGAGGTGAAGAAGCTTGAGTGTGCATGTCGGAGAGGGAGAAGAAGCTTGAGTGTGCATGTCGAGCAAAAGCAGCGATGGAGAAGAATTCCGATGCCCTGAGGAAGGGAAAGTGGTCTCGTTGCACTCAGTAGTCTTCATGACTTGCTTGTTTTATGGTTTATTCATGAATAATGTTGTCTACTGTTGGCACATACTTCTAGTATTATTGTGTTGTTTAATGTGGCATAGTATTGGACTTTTCATTATGTAGTTGTTTTTATTATTTGTGGTCATAATATCCAGTATAATGTTGCGGACGTAGTAAAATATGATCATATGCAGCAAACACAAACTAACAAAGTAGGACATTATATAATTTAACCCACAAAACACATAAAATGGCATGTGAGAACATGTACCGAACTAGGGTACAGAGTTCCTTCGACTAAGGCCCCATTCGCGTGCCCTTAAACCCGACTTGATCCGCTTATTTTTTCATCCGGAACAATGTTTTTCTCTCATAAATTTCTCTAGCATTCCTCCAAACCATACATATTCCTCCAGAATTTAGACAAGCGAACAGGCCCTAAACCTAACACGTCTTAGGTAATTAAACCTAACAACAAACACATGGATATGCCATGTGAATAAGATAGGATCATCCTAGTAGTGTGGCCATATAGCAAATTGTGTTGCACCTTCTCCACAGTAGCCTCCCATTGTTGGTGGTGGTGGCAGCAGGGGTGACAGCGGAGGCCCCTTGTTCTTGTGGTTAGGGCAGGTGCAATATGGATCATTGCAGAGTGCCTCCTGTGAATCGGCACCATTGTTGTTGTCGTTCTGTTCGTCGTCCTTACAACCGCTGCTAACTTCTCTTTCTAGATCAAAGATACGGTCCTGCAGGTAGTAGATGTACTCTGTATGTGAATAAATAGGTCGAGAATTGACCCACCTAGTGAACCCCACAGTTTTCTTCGGTCAAAGAAGACTGCAATAAGTATGTCATATAAGTTGTAAGAAGAGGAACATATTGAAGAAACAAATAGTAATAGCAATTACCCATGCTCGCGGGCATTTGAAGAAACAATGACCTCTATCTATTCCCTCGGTGAACATCTGCACTAGGCAGTCCTCACCATGCATGTATTTTGGCCACTTTTCTTTTCGTTCATCGTATCCTCTTAGTGGTGCCTCTTTGGTGAAATCACTTTTGCTCTCA